CTAATTTGGTTGTCTTTTATTTCTTTTTCTTGCCTAATTGCTCTGGCTAAAATGCTCAGTGCATTGTTGAATAGAAATAGGAAAAGCAGGCATCCTTGCCTTGTTCCTGGTCTTAGGGGGAAAGCTTTCAGTCTTTCACCATTGAGTATGATGTTAGCTGTGGGTTCTTCATAAATGCCCTTTACCATGTTGACGATATTCCCTTCTATTCCTGGTTCATTGAGTGTTTTTATCATGAAATGGTGTTGGGTTTTGTCAAATGCTTATTCTGCATCAATTGAGATTATCATGTGATTTTTCCCCCTTCATTCTGTTAATGTGATGTATTACACTGATAGATTTTTATATGTTGAACCACCTCTGCATTCCTGAAATGCATACCCACTTGGCCATGGTATATAAACCTTTTAATATGCTGCTGTATTTGATTTGCTAGTATTTTTGCATGTATATTAATAAGGGACATTGATCTGTAGTTTTCTTTTCTGGTGATGTCTTTGCATACCCACTTGGCCATGGTATATAAACCTTTTAATATGCTGCTGTATTTGATTTGCTAGGATTTTTGCTAGTATATTAATAAGGGATATTGATCTGTAGTTTTCTTTTCTGGTGCTGTCTCTGGCATTGGTATCAGGGTAATGCTGCCTTATAGAATGAGTTGGGAAGGGTTCCCTCCTCTTCAATTTTTTGGAAAAGTTTGAAAAGGATTGTTGTTAATTTTTCTTTAAATGTTCAGTAAAACTCACAATGAGTCCATCTGGCTCTTTGCTTTTCTTTGTTGTGAGGGTGTTGGTTATTGATTCAATCTTTTTACTTGTTATAGGTCTATTCAGATTTTCTATTTCTTCTTGAGCCATTTTTGGTAGTTTATGTGTTTCTAAGTCTTTTTGCATTTCATTTAGATTATCTATTTTTTGGCATATAATTGTTTAGTATTCTTGTTATTTTTGTTTGCTTGTTCTTTTTAAATTTTTTTTTCAGGTTTTTATTTTTTAAATCACCATCGTTTAGGATGCAAAAAGAATGTGAGCAAAGAGGTGACACAGTATTTCTGATTCATGTTAAAGTCTTCCAACTTTAGCCAGGTATCCAAGAACATATACAGGTTAAAATTATCTGGCTATTGAAATGGTATTATTCAAAGAAGATAAAAGTGGTTTAAAAATTTTTAAAAATCTTTTAAGCATTAAGAAAGTTATTGACATTAAGGGATATTCAATGATGGGATGGCTACTTGTTCTTCTGTTACTAAGAGAGCAGTGTTAAAATCTCCAACAATGATAGTTAATATGTCTTTTGGTTCTGTCACTTTTTGTCTTGTGTGTGTGTGTGTGTGTGTGTGTGTGTATTCTTATATAAAAAGATTTATATAAAAAGATTTCCCCTGGCAGCTGGCTGGTATGGGCATCCGAATCCTTGACTTTGGTGTTACAAGGCCGTGTTCTAACCAACTGTGTTAACTGGCCAGCCCTTGTATATTTTGAAGCTATGCTATTAGACATATACAGATTTAGGATGATTATATTTTCTGGTGAATTAACCCTTTTTTCATTATGAAAATGTCCCTCTTTATCTCTAGTAATGCTTCTCGCCTTCAAATTAATTTTGTCAGATATTAGTGTAGCTATTCTGGAGTCCTTTTGTTGGTGTTTGCATGGTATATCCCTTCTGTCTTTGCTTCTAAGATTTCTNTGTGTGTGTGTGTGTGTGTGTGTGTGTGTATTCTTATATAAAAAGATTTATATAAAAAGATTTCCCCTGGCAGCTGGCTGGTATGGGCATCCGAATCCTTGACTTTGGTGTTACAAGGCCGTGTTCTAACCAACTGTGTTAACTGGCCAGCCCTTGTATATTTTGAAGCTATGCTATTAGACATATACAGATTTAGGATGATTATATTTTCTGGTGAATTAACCCTTTTTTCATTATGAAAATGTCCCTCTTTATCTCTAGTAATGCTTCTCGCCTTCAAATTAATTTTGTCAGATATTAGTGTAGCTATTCTGGAGTCCTTTTGTTGGTGTTTGCATGGTATATCCCTTCTGTCTTTGCTTCTAAGATTTCTGTTCCTTTATATTTGAGGTGTATCTCTTGTATCATATACTTTTACAAAAATAAAGTCTGATAATCATTTTTTAATTTGAACATTTAATGAGTTATGATATATTTGAGTTTAAACATACCAGGTTACTATTTGTTTTCTCTTTGACTTGTCTGTTCTATGTTCCTTTTTTCCTGCTTTTCTTGCCTACTTTTGGGTTACTTAAGTATTTTTCAGAATTCCGTCTCCCCCCTCTGTTAGCTTCTTAGTTGTGCGTTCTTTCAGAATTCTTTTTATGGTTTGCGATATGTATCTCTGACTTATTAAAATACCACTTCCTGGAAATACCTTAAAACCCTTTAATTCCATTTTCTGCTCTCTCGACTTATATACTACTGTTATCATGCTTTTAACTATTGTATCTCTCTATATTTTATTCCCCAGAAAACTATTGTTGCTCTACATAATCGATATTCACTCAGAGTTGCCTACTCTTCTGTTGCTCTTCGTTTCTTTCTTCTTCTCCATGCTTCTGTCTGGGATACTTTTCCCTCTGACTGAAGAACTCCC